CTCATGCACCCCTGCTCCTAGTGAGGGCATCCTCCCCCATGCTCCCCTGCTCCTAGTGAGGGCATCCCCCATGCTCCCCTGCTCCTAGTGAGGGCATCCCCCCCCATGCACCCCTGCTCCTAGTGTGGGCATCCCCATGCACCCCTGCTCCTAGTGAGGGAAACCCCGTAGGTGCACCCCTGCTCCTAGTGAGGGAAACCCTCCATGCACCCCTGCTCCTTGTGAGGGAAACCTTGCAAGTGCACTTTATTTAATTACTTATGGCCCATTTAATGTCATAACGTGCACATGTACAGCTATTTTTGTAAGAATTTCCTATTTGAATTTGAATTTGAAGTAATTAGTTGTGACATTTTTTTTTGCAAAGCGTTACTTTTCGTCTCATTGTAATGATTATATTATGTGTATGGATAAGTCTTTATTATTGTCGACAGCAGGATGAGAGACTTTCAGAGAGAGAAAGAGACCCACAAAACAGTTTAATTAGAAAGTTGGTGTTTTTTATTTGGGTCTAAAACATACAGCAGTTGTTGATTACGAAAAGTCGCCCAAGCGCTATCGGTGCTCCACCTTCCAGTGAAGAGCTACGAAGCCTCTCACATTTCACCCCAATAAATGTACGCGCAAATTGCGACCGGCAACGCTATCGCCACCTTGCGGTGCACATTAGCTGTATCATAATAAGTCTGCCGGGTGCCCGTAGTAAGTAATTTGCACGATTCTATTCACAGTTATCTTGGCGCTACACTGGGAATACACTGCTATACATTTCTTAGCTGTAGCTATAAATACAATGCAGGTGCCTGTACACAATCTACTCGTTCGATAATAATGTGTTACTCATTGTAAAAAATACATATTGCATATGCGTAGAGCGATTCTGCACGCGCGCGCGTATATATATATTTATATAGAATATATTCTCTGATCGACGTCCCTTGAATGTTGTTGGTTCCCATACGTGCGTTTGTATGGCACGGGTGTATGTACGCGTGTAAAATAATATGCCATGTCGTGTTAGTGATGCAATATATCCATAAGAAGACTTTCACGAACCTCTCCATCAACGCGTTCGTACCACAACTGTCTTGTAGATGAATCGGAATAAAATGTGGTTTATACGTCTAACAACGTTTGGCATTGGCTTTTGCATTTTTTCTCATTCATTGCACGAAAACTGGAGCGACGCGGGTCATGGAGAAATAAGCATCGGAGTGGTTAGACTTCTTAACAACTGTCAACTTTTTCCCCACTGCGCATGCGAGGACTACATTTACTTGTACATTGGTTTATGAGAAAAAGATGATAGTAATTTGGTTATTAGTGCCAAATATCACAAGATCCTCTAAAACTGGGCATTTTCAAACGTTGGCAGGTATTGCAGATGCCAACTACAAACGTGTGTAAGTAGTTTTTTCAACATTTCCAATTTGATATTCGTAGCACAAGTGATTTATATACATGTAAACTGTCGAATATTGGAAAATGTACATATAATCCACAGATATCCTATATACGGTATCTATATGGTAACCATTTTATCAGGAGTAGTACTAGTAACATAGACTGTCGATATTGGGACACTCCTGATTTTATGGCATCACAGCGCCATCTCCCGGTCGGAAACGTTAGTAACGATATAATATAAAAGAATTACCACTATAAAATGCTGTTACTTGTGAACAGTCGACACTCTGTCAATGTAAACAGTGTATGGCTCACTTGCACTAGTTTGGCACGTAAATATACAAAATGTTAGATTGCAGGATCTATTGAGTTTAGCAACGGTGATCTCACAGTCAATAAAGGTATTACTCGAAAGAATTTTCTACCCGCTCCCCGGGGGGGGGGGGGGCACTCGCCTCGGATCG